ACAGTTACTGTTATTAATAATGGGTCAAACTGTGCTAGCAGTTACTAACAACATAATCGATATATCATAAATATAAAACATTAAAATATTTATTATTTTTTTTAGTTACTATTTTGCAAAAAAAAATCTAAAAGTAAAATTCTCACTAATTAATACATCTATAGATAACAACAATGTTCAAACCCTTTTAAATATCGATAAATATGTATTGTAATCTTTTAAGAGGATCCACTCACTGCCAATCTAAAATTTTAAAAAATAATAGTTAGAAAACGTATTAGATATTTAAAAACCAAAGTAACTATACCTACTTCTTTAAATGTTCCATAAATACTTGCAGACTGACATCATCTGTGAAAATGGCTTGACCTTGTGGTGTTCCATACATACCACCAGAAACGTGAGTGGTTGAAGGGTTAAGTTTGGAAAGAAGAAAACGTGCCTGAGAACCATGCTGATCACAGACAATATATCGGGGAACTGGAAAACGGTCTGCCAAAAGTTCCTACATGAAAAAGAACAAGTGTCAAAACGCTATTACAAACGCTACTATTATATATACATATATATATACCTCTGAATCAGTTTTTGGTGCTTCCAACAACTCTTTAAAATTTTCGTAACCACTTTGATCCTGGTACCCAGCTTTTCTCCATTGGGCAATTGTCTCTCCATGGAAAATAAGAATGTGGAAGAATGTGTCGAGCAACAAGATAACGTCTGGTTTTATAGAAACTGAATCTAAAAGCACTGGTTGTGGTGCTGAATCAAATCCATATGACATCAATGTGGGTTGAATCATTATGAGAGAGTTGTTGACATCTTCCCGGTTTAGTACATGTCTATAAAAAATATATATAATAAAAATAAATCAGTTTAAAATAACAGTTTAATACTGTAAATAATATACATCATAAATTTTATGTTTTAGTACCGGTAAAATGCCGTTTCGTCTGGACTATTGTTGAAAACTTGTAAAAATTGACTTCTTCGAAGATGGAACATAAATTGTGGATATATAGAAAAGTTTTCAGCAAGTCGAAATGATAAAGAGTCCTCTTTTCGATAATCAGCAAATTTTTGACATAATCGAATTAGCATACGATCCAACCATCTCAAAACGTCTGGCCCATCATCAATCTCTGCTTTGAAAACCGCTATACGTGCCATAAGTACAGCAGCAGCCTCTTGATCGAAAGACTGAGCAATTTGTGGACTACTTCCATCAGCAAAATTTCTAGCAATAGTGGTGACACGCAGACGGAACTGCCCACTGGAATGTTGATAATGTGTCACAAGTTGAATTAAACCACGATTATTGTGTTGGACTGGTTGGCCATGCTGGCTGACAACTTCAAAATACACCGCAACAGTTGACTTTGGTGTGATTCCACACATCTTCCATGCTGATGTATTCGCTATACCAATTTCTGTTTCAGCTACCGATGCACTTTTTTTATTTGCGGAGACAGCATGACCAATCAAGCCACAAACTCGCATTTCTCTGGTGGTCTAAATGTAAACAAAATCTTTTTTATAAAAAAAAAATAGAGTATTAATAATTAATATTACAAAATAAATATAAATACCTGTACATCCAGTGTTGCGTTGAATCCCATTTGTAAATTACCTTGAGCATCCTTATTAAAAACTCTTTGGAAACTTTGTTTGAAAATGGATGTAGTAAAAGAATCAGAAAGAATCATATATCCTCCAGTTGAATTAACCATAGATTTCATTTCAAGCAATCCAATTTGATCAAGACATCCAGCAAAAATATCAACTATATGACCATTTGCCGAACTGCGTTTAGCAAGTGCGTCATAAAACTGAAAGTGAAAAATATATATTGTCAATTACCAATGCTCTACATATCATCATAATGTATAAAAAAGTAGTGTTCCTATCCATTTATCCATCGGATATCCAGATCTGAATTTATTCGGATATCCGTTTTATGTCTGTTTACTATTGATATCCAGATAATTATTTGAATACCTGTCAGATTATCCGGATATCTGAGCGATTTGAATTATCCGGATAATCAGATACAGATAAACAGATGACGGATTTATCCGGATTGGAACTCTATAAAAAAGCATACCTTTGTAGCTTTTTTATAATATTTGACGTTATCCTTTTCAATATCGTGATGAGATCTAATAGGTTCTTTCAATTCATTACCAACGACCATACCAGGACCTTCAGTAGCTGGACCACCGCAGAAAAGCATTATACGCGCTCCTGCTCCTTGAAAAGTAGTCTAATGAATGATTTAATAATAAGTATATTTTATAAAAGTAAAAATAATTAAACGAATAATAGAGAATTATATAGATTATATAGACCTCCATTAATCCAATGGCAACACTCATTGCAACACCTGTGCATCTTTGAGGTCGTTTATCATTTGCGACAGGCCATGGGTCACGTTGAAGTTGTTCTAGGATGGACGTCAAGGTAAATTCACATTGTTGAACCGGTAAAAGAAATCTAATAAATAAAGAAAATATTAATAATCATGAAAAAAGAATGAGATATAAATAGTTTCACGACTTACCGACTAGCACCAGGGTTTTGAGGAGCCCCAGGTTGGTTTGGTCGTTGCATTTGAGGGCGTAAATTTTGAGCAGACAAACCAAGCATTTCTTGAATTTGCTTAGATGTATATTCTTTTGTTCCTCGAAAGACATAAGATTTAGGGCATTCATTATATCCAAGTTCGTGAACTTGCGCCTATTTTATTTATAAGAATTTTCCATTATTATATTATTATATCGCGATTTTTATATAAAACATAATATAACGGGAAAAATGAAGAGTCTATACCATTGTACCAAAAGTAATTAAACCAACTAATGCATGGGGTGGTAACAAACTCAAGCTAACAACCAAAGAATCCTTCAACGCTTTCAGATCATCGTCTTCAAGACAAGTATCTACTACATACAAAAATATCGGAGGAATTTGGGCTGCGCGATTAAGGGTGTATTCAATGGTGGTATACTTTGGCAGCAGCTCAGCGGGGAGGTTGGTATTGGAAATATCTTTATAATGAGGAGGAAATGCATTTCTCTGAAGACAAAAAGGGCAGATCCAAAGCTTCCCGCGAACATCAATTTGACTAATAAATAACCAGTTAGAAATATTATAAAACGTGTAAAAAGCAAAATAGATTAACATACCAGTATGGATTTAAAATTGCACGACAAGGTTGTCTGCAAGTAACAGGTTCATAATAGATTGGGGGTAAATCTTCTCTTTCTTTAAGTGGAGTATAAAGACATGATATAGGCACAACGATCCTTGTTGCATCTAAACGAGAGGCAGGGTAGACGTTCCAGGAAAACCTTGTTCCGTCTTGTTCTTCAATCTCTTCAAAATTCATTGTGCAGGTAGCAATATTTTACAAATTTGCTATCGCTATAATCGTATTAACTTTATATATGATTATATCACATAAACGTGTAGCTTTTTGTACGGTTAATTCAATCTATCGTAACACAATCTACAATCTATTAATATGATAAATTTTGCTGATAACAAAATTTATAAATAACTACTCGCATTTGATAATATATACTGCACATAACTTATATACTTTATTTGAAGATTAATGATCGAATTGTTTAGAGAAAGAAGTTCAGTGAATCAAATATTTATTTATGATTTATTACTACGTAGAATTTGTAGACTTTGCATATACTTAATATATCAATGTATATTAATATTGTCGGGACCATAACAACCCCACTTAATAAGATATTATATTTACAAGAAAAATATATACGTATAAACCTTATAAACCTGCAATTTAAAAAAAAAAACATTTTATTGTCTACATTTAGTATTGATTGTTTACCTTTTTCATTAACCACATATTAGTCAATTGATTGAGATGGACTCACTCTATTAAAAACACTACACTGGGTGTCAAGAATTTTAACAATCTTATCGTAGATCCAAGGTTTATTGTGTATTAGTTTTGTGTAGATCGGTAGATGCTAAATCCAAATGTTAAAGAAAATTTAGCGAATTAAAACAATATATAAAGAATAAGTAATAGTAGTTTACACCAATTTACCTATAATATGTATGATTAAGGTCGTCGAGAGAAATTATTTTATAAAACTTTACAGTTCACCGGTTCATCTAAAAAAACTTTTTAGTATTAAGGGCAAGAACTTTTTTAAAGATCTGATTGTTAGATAAAATAACGAAACATTCTAAAAAAAATTATACGTTCCCTCAACAAATTTCTGTCACCATTAATTTTTACATGCAAGCATCTGATTATATCACCTAACAGACAATGAAATTAAACAACCATAGTAATATGATATATAATAAAATTAATATATGGTGGTGAACCAATAAATCAAACAAATTTTTTATATAAACCTTTGAACAAAGTTAGCAAGAATCTGATCACATTTGATAAATAAATTTTACCAATTATTTTGTTCAGAGTTTCAAAAAAATTTATTAAAAGAAATTTGTTTGATTTTTCTATTGACCCAACTCCATATATGTGTTGTGTATACTCGATGTATATATATATATATTTTTTTTACCTGAACCCAAGACAATGTCTGACAGTTAACACAGGCCACCTTACAAGCTAAGCAAGGTCTAAGATCAAGTAATTAATGAGTTGCTCAAAAATTTTTGCTCCACTAAAAGAATTTAACACAAATCGCATCAAATTAAGTCATGTCATTTAGAAACAAAAGTTTTATTCGAGAGGATCAATAATTTTCACAATAGAAGACATTATTAATTAATTTCATACCTAATTTTACTATCATATTATGTCATTTAGAAAAACTTGTCAATTTAAATGCACACAAGAATTAATAATTGTTGAGGTAATGCGGGAACATCCCAAGAGTAAGCCTCGTTGTGTTATGACCTCTCTACCCTCAAAGAAGATCAGAAAAGACCACAATCGCATAACTGTGCTATGACTAACGAAACCAATCGTGACACTCCTAACAGCCTCAAGAGTAAACTCTTTCTTTGGCATAGAGAAGATCAACGAATGGTAATGCCACACTATGGGCGACACTTTCTGCCATATGTCCGAGGACTTTCCCCAAAGCAATAAATTTGAGCAAATAATTTAAAAAATTACTGCCCCGTATGTGGTGCTTTGACAGCGATTCTTTGAGGTGTTCCCAGCTTAAAGAGTAAAATTAAAGATCAAGAAATTTTGGTAATGGAGTTTAATCTAAAGAAATAAGATAAAATATTAATTTTAAAATTAAATTAATAATATCATGAGTTTTACATTTATTTTATTATAAAGAGTTTATCGTTCAAAAAATCTGATTAAAGAGAACATTTAAATAAATTTTTTTTTTTTTTTTTTTGTGTCCTTAAAATCAAGTTCCACTATTACACGACATCACGCCTAAGCTTACCGTTACTCATGATCCATTTATATAACCTGTTTGCTTTTTTTGATAATCAGCATCAAAAATGCTCGCGATGTAGTGTAAACATGTCTGATACAAGTTATGTGTAAGTTGAAAAAAAAAAAAAAAAAATGCATTAGTGCACAGACGAATTACGAAAGCTCAGAAGTTTAAGAAAACAATTACACATTATTAATAACGCAAGTGATCGAAGATCAAATCAAAACAAAATAGAAAAATGTATATTTTGCCAAATATATATTCTTTTTATATTCCAAAGGAAGTTAGGTCTCAAAATGAGTTTACGACATTTTAAGACATTGTGTTTGACTTTTTTAAGTACCGATCAATTCACCGAAAAAAAACGATTTAAAATTCATTTATCGATAATCACTGTTTGAAACACAATTCCAGATTAGTAATAGTAAACAGATTTTTTCTTTCTCCTGGATTTTTTTATGACAAGATGAATGAACAAATTTCCGGTTACAAAAATTAATATGAAAAGATAGAATATGATCAATATGGGATGTTATTACAGTATGAGGTCATCAACCAATCAGATGATTTTAATTATATATATATTTAACTGTTAGGATTTGCTTACTGTCGCTACGTATTAGATTGATTCAGCGAAAATTACTTAAAGTGGATGGAGTATATTCATTATTAGATCATTAAATCAGGATTGAATGCTTTAAACCGTATAATAGAACATAACATATGATTTTGACTAATTCAGCAATTGCGAATTTTACGTATACAACCAATTAAAAATTTTCATTTATTAAAAAAAAATTTAGAACAAAAATATATAATTTAATAATCCTGATGCAAATTTTATATGTAAATCGATGCAAAATCAACATTTTAAAGATTATTCTTTTTTTATTGGAGTATTGGAAAAAAATCTAAATTTCTTTCAAAAAAAAAAAAAAGAACCGTATTACGGTTGATGTTTTATAGCGATAATTAAAAACCTTAATTAAAATATTGTATCCCTTCTCAATGATCTAAATCCATTATTTGAGTACACCGCTTACGCACTATATCCCTAATGATATAAAGTATATTTGATATTAAACAAGAAAGTATGACTCAATAAATATACAAACAAAAAAAAAAAAAGGAAACTTTTTGTAATGATCAAAAGCTTATGCGTGAATTATTATTATTATAAAAATTCGATCAGCCGATTTTGGAAAAAATCGACCGACTAAGCCTATGATTAGCTTTTAGCCGATTTTTTCATTATAGGCTGAGATCAACTAATTACTACCATTGCTTGCTGTAGATGGTGATTTTGAACCATGTTCTGATTTATCACCATTAACTTGTGAAGAATGAGGTTGATTAGAATTATGTTCTGAAGATTCATCTGATCTTGTTTGTCGACCATTTTCTTGGTTTACTCCATTACTATGATGTTGTTCACTATCAGAATGGTAACCTCCATGATGCGCCGATGCGCTATTAGCAGGTGTATGATAGAAATGTAATCCTTCTACATACTCCTGCGAATGATATGCTGGAGAAGTTAGAGGATGATCCGGAAGTTCTGTTGATTGTGGAATTTCAATCTTCATAAATGGTTTTCCACCTACAGCAGCAACATTCGAATTTGCGTTTGGCATTTGACGTGACTCAAAATTAGAGAATGCAGAGTGTGGAGCAGAAGTTGTAGCAACTATGTATAAAACAAATATATATATATAATTATAATTATTATTATATCATAATATTTCAATGTAAATGAAAAATTTTAAATTATAAATAAATAAATAAATATATATATATTTATATTTATATATTTATATTTTATATATTACCTCCTTCCATATGCATATCGATTTGTTGATTTTGATGTACTTTTTGATCGTGTGAACCGTTAACAATATTCGGATCCAAGTTAGGATTATTATAAACTTCAGGATTTTGATTTTCAGCGTCACCAATTGCTGGTACCATATATTGTTGATGAGGATGTTGTGGATGAAAAGGTGGTGTTTGTCCATTTGGACCTGCCATCATTAATAAAGCATCATTTCTAATTGGACCACCAGTTACTGGTGGGAAACCTTGAAAAGGTGGATACTGTCCATATGGTCCCGGAAAAGGACCACCATTAAAATCTTGTGGCATCACAGACCCATTTGGACCAGTAGGGTGTGGAAAACCAATGTGACGATCATTAGGAAAAGCAGGATTCATTCCCATTGGATTATAACGATCATGATTATCAGCATAGTGACCAGGACTACGACCACGTACGACTAAAGGCGCTGAAGTTGATGTAGCAACTCGATATTGTTCACCATTTTCTGCTTGAGCGTATAGATCAACCATTACTACATAATATTGTTGTGCAGCACGACGTTTTCCATTATTTGCAGTAGCGGTTTTAAATTGAATACGTTCAAAAGTAACTATATTTGAATTAGAACCAACTGAACTAAGATTTAGATTTCCACCAGGACGAATAGGTTTTGGAACAGGAACCATTTGAGGACCTTTATCACGTTTTGGAGTATGTTGTACTAACTCAATCTTTTTGTCACTGTTGGATACTCGTGCTGTGATTCCTAATAAGAATTGAGTTACTGTGTGAAATTGACCGTCTACTTCAAGCAAGCATGGTACATCAGCTTCGTTAACAGGATGAGTCGCGCTTGAAATGGAAAATGCACTGCTAATTTGAAAATAATTTCTTCGATAACACGTCCAGTCATTATCGGCCAAAAAGAAACCACGATCAACTTTTGAATTGATACGAAGTTTAAAACTAATTTTATTAATAAAGTTATATAACAAAGATTTTTTTTTTTAAAAAAAAAGTACATATATATATATATATATATATTATATATATAAAATAAAAATATTATTATTATTACGATTAACAATAATGATAATAATATAAGAAAAACATTTTAGAATCATTTAAACAATAACTAACCTATAAGTCCTGTCCATGCTCCATAAATTATAATGTTGTTGAGTCGGTGAGAAGAAAGGGCCAGCGTCTACTGGGAAACCGGATGCATCTGCCCTACGCTTCCTAACACTAGGCTGGAAAGGCGCCGCGTGAAATGATGTGAATGTTGGACGGTTGTCAATCTTACGATCAGGAACAGAGTTTTGTGTGTTTGTGGTTGAATTGATATTCGGAGAATCATTCTGTCGAGGCGTCGTAGGAGTAGCAGGGGTAGACATTGAAACAAAACTATGAATTTGAGTATTGAATATTAGAGAAATATTTTTTTTTGAATTATTATACATTTAAATGGTTAGCAAAGAATAAAAAATAAATAAATAAAAAAAAAACAATAATAATAATATTATTATTATTAATTGAAAAAAAAAAAGAAGAATGATAGGAATGATAAGATAGAAAAATTAAAAAGAAAGCACGATGATCACAGCTTCCACCACATATGCGTAAATTATTTTGACCTTTGGAAGAAATTGGATACGCAAGGAAGACGCATTGATTATACCTCCGAAATCTTTACTACCTTTGATATTGGGGTTGTCTATCATGTGGGTTAATAATCTCTTGCTTTGGTGAAATAAACATGTTAAGATAAGTGTTGTGAGTGGGCCTTGAAAAGAAGGGATACATTGTGAAAGGGATATATATGTGTTTAAAAGCACATATACCGGTGATAACTGGTTATGTCAGAAAGGGAGGAAAGCAGTAAAGGCAGGAGAGCGGCAGGACGCAGCGTAAAGACTTCAGGGCATAAAGCGTGTGTAAGGTAACACGCGGCGGGAAGAAACATCAACTTGCATAACCCAAACAAGTTTGTACCAAGTACAAAATAAAACGCGGGTGGTGTGCTATGCTCGTTGTGGAAACTGTAAAACGTGCGCGGTACGAAACCGACGTGAAAAAAAAAATAAATAAAATATATAAAAGCCTGTCAACACTTACATTTGCTGAGAGTGCATTTGACCTTGCGCTGCTTGACTTTCGTATGGAAATGGCTGTATAAAGTTTTCCGTAGGCATACCGTTCATCTGTGGTGACATTGTAGAATGTTGATGTTGAGGAGAAGGAGGAACTTGAGAAGTCTGTTGAATTGACCACTTTTCCTCGGAAATATTCATAATAATATTGAGCCAAAAAGTAGGTAGAATACCCCTTGCAGACGTTAAAAGATATTTTCAAAAAATTTGTAAAAGATCAACGGTAACGAGATTCCTCGGAGCTATAAAGTATATAAAGGTGTATTAAAAAAAAGAAAATAAATAAATAATAAATAAAAGAATAAAAGATTTAATAAAAGCGAGAAACCAATGAAAGTAAGGTTTATTATATATACATAAGAAAAGATTTGAGGGGATAAGTTGATTGTCGGATAACTAATATCCGAAACATACGATTCAAATAAAGAAAAAGAAAACCGAAGAGGATAAATAAAGGAAGAAAGAGAAGAGCATACACTCTATAAAAGATTTCTTCAAAGAAATTTCTCTTAATAATATAATATAATATATTTTATTTTTAAAATATTTCGCTTTTAATTACACGAACACTAACAAGCTATTAGGAAATAGGATAGTTGTACTTGGATCCCTTGGAGAGCAGGGAAAAAGTGGTCCAATGTTACTCACCTTTTGTAGGTGCACAAGCTGACCTTTTTTGCTCAAAACTCTGGAGAGATGTTTTGAAGAAAAAAACCGAGCGCAATCTCTATATAAGTCATTGTAAAGGGTAATAAGAGTAACCAATGATATGAGAGCCAGATTTTTGGGGAGTTTTTTTTCATTTTGATATAATTGAAAAGTTTGCCAGTTAAGGATTTTGATTGGTCACGCAACAAAAACCCCCAATTCTCAAATCAAGTTTTGAACAGGAATTTGCATCGACACACAAAATCTTGGTGTATAAAAAAAAATTTTTTTTAAAATGATGGCATTTATTACTATGAATGGGTAGAAACTCAAAAAGCGTGACCAGACATATAACGCATCATTCTCACTACTTTTTGCTTTCGATTAAACTAAAAACAGTAAAAGATTAAAGCCAGTACAACATAAAACCGATTAACAGGTATTATTAATGCGTTTTTTTTTTTTTTTTTTTCACAAATTACAAATTATAAAAAATTTTATTAAAATTTATAAAAAATATATATTTACGCAGTTTACGATAAAAAATACAATGTTCAGAGTTTAAAAAACGTTCGTGTAAGTCATACATAATTCCTCGTACAAAAATAAACATCTCACAAGCCTTTTTTATCCATCGTACCACGTTATCTATAACGCAAATAATTTTATGCTTTACACTTAGATACAATACCAAAGTTATCTTAATTGACAAGATAAATAACAATAAATGACAATACTTATGATTAATAAAAAGCCAAATATCCTTGTACGCCCTCAGCTCGCTCCTATGTTCCAAATACGGTAAGGCGTTGGTCGTTCCGATGCGGGTCGTGAGTACATTTTTTCTTCAATGTCTAGGTGTGGGTAATCTGGCTGTACAAAGAATTTCGTTAGGCAAAATCAAGTTACCTTTCTGGAATTTGTCTCATTTAAGAAATCTGCAAACTTTTTAATCTGGCACAGCCCGCTATAAATCAAGTTTCATCTATTCCCTTGTCATGTGCAAATGTGTTCGTAACTCAAATCATTCGTTTATTTTATTTACGTACGTGGACAATTCATTAACTCTAATTAAGTATATATATCGATATATATATATATATATGTATATATACACGTTGTTAAAATAATTTAAAAATAATGATAAGCCACCTGAAAGACTAACTGTAGATATTCCTGTTGTAATCTTGTCTTTAAGGAAACCCAGATGCTGGCGGTACTGATTGACTTGATTAGATTTTCCTCATGCATGTATTATCAATCATTTTGTATATATAAATTATTATTAATTTCATATAATCAAAGACGAATTTTCATTATCATTGTCCGTTATGATTTGGTTACATTCGATCTTGTGTCTGGATACTTTTAATTCTTTTGGTTTGACAAATTCTTTTGGTCTGACAAAGTTTTTGACGGCTCTGAAAAATTTTCCTTTGGAATGTCCGGATGCATGGTTACGAAATTAAAAGGGCATGGCGACTTTTCTTTTTTTCCCTATTAAATTTATCATAGTCTCCGCAAAAAATTTTTTCTCACACAAAAGGAGATCCTTTTTTTTTTCGCGGTAACGTTTCTTTGTACTCTCCCTCGTTTTTTTCGTTCTGCTTCATATCCACGAGTACATCAATTTTTCAACACAACGTATTTCCTTTTTAGCTCCGGTGCTTTCGGTAGAATATCAATGGGTGTACAAATTATGTACATAGTACGCCCACACGGCGCTGCACAAAGATAGTCATGAACAGGATTTTTCCATAATTGCACTATTTACCTACCGCATGGCTGTCCGACGATTCCTATTATATCTTTTATATGTTTATCCGTTAAAATGCTAAGATCCGTATTTCACAAAAAAAAACCACGTGAAATTTTATTTCTATACATTTTACTTTTTTTTTTACTTAACTTAGCGAATAATTTTTCGTTTTACGTACGCATAAATTTTTTAAATAAATATATTTGTAACAATCTGTGGTACGTATAACAAAAATTAAGTTATATATAGTACATTTATAGTTAAGTCTTTTTATAAATTAATTGTTACAAATAATAAATAAGCAATTATGCAACTATTATAATTATATATAGTATATATTATTATTAATACACCTGTATACAGCATATATTGTATAATTATATATACATTAACAATTATTTATTAAAATATATTGTCAAATTTAAACTTGTTAAAATTTATATATATATATGGATTGTAGTATATATAAATTGTATAATATACTTACTATACTGTATACTGTATATATATTATTATGTATTTTATATATAGTATATATATACAGTATTTAAAATATTATTATAGTACTATAGCATGTAAAACTATTTTATATACAGTATAATAACCAAATTAATATAACATGTAAATCAAACCAACTTTTATATATCAAAACAAATTAATATTAGAATAAAAATATTAAAATTAAATAGTTTTTATAATAAAATTTAGCAAGAAATTTTTTTTTTTTTATTAAAGTTTAAAAAATAGTTTTTTAAACAAAATTTTAAAATATAATTTGTTTTTTTAAAAAATTCTTTATTTTTATTATAAGAAGCCAATTTGTATATTATTTAAAAATATTACTAACCATAACCGGTGGTAATCATTACTGGAGTGCTTATATCTTAAAAACATACTAAGTAAACTTAATTGGGTATCCTAAGTAAAAATGTTCAGGACCCCCGAAAACCTTACAAAAACTAAATTCAGAACCTTGTATTAGCTCTATATTATTTTATATAAAAAAATAATAATTCTTAATACCTACACCCTAATCCTAAAAATATCTAGAGGCGGTGACGATTACTGCTAGTGATTTGTAGTTAAATTCTATTATTTAATACACAAGATTTTAAAACAAAATATACAATAATAGTATTAGTATACTATCTTTGCTAGAAGCTTAAATCTATAATTGATTTTGTTAGATTTACTGTATTTATCATATTTAAAATAATAATTATTTTGCTTTTACAATACATTTTTTATATATTTTTATTAAATTTTAATATTAAAAAAATTTATATTACTCTATTTGCTATTTTTTTTTTTTTTTAATTTGATAGCTATATTATATGTCCTGCTTTATTAATGATTTTTGCAATCTAAAAATTTATAGCTTACACCATGCCTTTAATAACAAAAAAAACTAGAATATAGCTTACTTGGTTTCCAATTAAATTTATATACGATCTGCCAAAAATGAGTTTAATTTTACTAGTTTGTTTCTATACCTTTATAAATAAAAACTTGCTCAGATCACTGATTTGATTCACCAACCTATTATAACTATCTTTTTTCCCAATCTTCTTTTCTTAGCTTTTTAGATAAAAAAATACTACCAAAAAACAACAGGAAATTTAGAAATAAAAGAGATATACAAACAAAAAAAGAGAGTAAACAAACTAAAAAAAAAAACAAAAAAAAAACAAAAAAAAAAGTTAAAAATAAAATAATCATAATGATATTATTTTTGCCTATACTAGGCTATAAAAATTATATAATATTATATGGAAAAATCTAATCTAATACTATATGTAATAATAAAAAGAATTTTTTTTTTCCTTTGATAACCTTGTACTAATTTATTAGAATTTTTGTAATTTACAAAATTAACTATCTAATTTACATATTAGGCAAATACCCAGCTGCTATAAAAGTGCTCAAGTATGGTTACTGTACTGATGTTTGCTAACAAGCTCCACATACAGTATTACTTGTATTTAAAAACCTGCTATAGCTTGGTACTCAACTATCTAAATTCGAACCAATTACATTTTGCTTTCCTTCTAGACTTATTTTACCAATGTTTAGGCAAAATATATTTTCTTCTACTTCTGCGTAGTGCAAACATATATGCCAATTTACAAAAGAAAAACTTTTTTTAAGAGCCGATTCCTTTTTTCAAACTTATCTCATCTAATATCTTCCTGAACTCAATCCACTTAGATCCCAGCAGATTTATACTACCTTCTACTTCTATGTAAAACTAATATATATGCTAAAATTATAAAGAAAAGTACAGTTAAAGAAATTCTTTAAAGGCTTCCTTATAATTGAAAAAAAATAAAAATTGTTCTAAAAAAGAAAACATAACTCAAAAGAGAAAATGAAACAACAAGAAAAAAAGGAAAGAGAAACCTAAACCGATTTTAATATAAATAAAAATAGATAAAACAAGCAGAAAAAAGAAAAAATTAAATGATTTGAATACACTATTATAACCCGTACCAAGTAATTTAAAAATTATATACTAGATGCAATATCTGTATATATCCGTTGTAAGTCTAAGCTTAACCTTAAAATTTTCTCTAACTCATTTCTGAATCTTTTTAATAATCTAGTCCGTATTTCAAACCAAGTGCTGCCACAGTACTAGAATCTGACTCTCCATATACGGTGCCAATAATGACAAGGATACAACATTTTTATAAAGACGCTATAACTCGGGTACTCGTGTCTCAAGTTACTTGGT